GTCTTCGCTGGGAGCTCGGGGCTGTGGGCAGCAGCGGCTCTGCGCGCTCTGGGTAAGGAGGCATGCTGCAGCGCAGGCACTTCCAGAACCGCGTGTTTGTTGTCCGAAGCTGTTCTCCGCGGGAGTTCTCCCATCTTAAGGCTCCTTGCTTTTGCTTTATGTACCTGATAGACTCCGGCAAGAGAGAGTAGTTGATGTCCTTGTCCATCTCCACAAGGATGACTTTGATGCCGTCCTTGATCAGGGCGTCATACAGCCCAGCCTGCTGCTCGAAGGCAGCCTGGCTCCAGCCCTCCCCCTGGTGGGCTGTGAGAATGAGGATCAGCCTCCTGCTTTTCCTGATGGCTTCTTCAACAGCACTGTGCAGGGCTGCAAGACAAGCCATCACACACAGGAAGGTGAGAGCACGCCCCCCACCCATCACACACAGGAAGGTGAGAGCACGCCCCCCACCCATCACACACAGGAAGGGGAGAGAGAGCACGCCCCCCACCCATCACACACAGGAAGGTGAGAGCACGCCCCCCACCCATCACACACAGGAAGGTGAGAGCACGCCCCCCACCCATCACACACAGGAAGGGGCACAGCTGAGGCTGGTGAGTCCCAGCTCACTGTGGAGAGACCCGTCTCCAACAGCTTAGTAAAAGCTACAGAAGAACCCCTTGTTACATACTGTAATTGAATCTACTGTAAATCAACGTAAAGCTCAGCTTTACAGCACTTCTACAAAAAAAGAGACCTTAAAAGGCTTCCTACAAGGTTGGTAGAAATGTCTGTGCATTGTGGGATAAAATGTGTCCAAATTCGTTGTGCCCAGTGATCTCTTCCTTGTCCTCTTGTCATGTATTTATAAGATCTGACACTGTTTTCCCTTCTTAAAGGACTGTTTTGAAGAATGCAGTGCATTATTGATGAAATGATATTCTGTATGTAATGTGCTTTTATGCTACAATGAGGGAATTCTGCATATGTTAATTAATTATTTAAATTTAAAGCAAAGCCTTGGAGTTACCTTCTCCAGGAAGATCATCTCTGTCGAAGATGAACAGCTGGTACCCATGCCTGTTCTCAAGCATTTCAGGAAGGATATGCAGAGCAAATTCTGCTGCCCTTGCGGAGACTAAGGAATTGTCTTTTGGATAACTCACATAGGCGTCATAAAGTTTTCCATCCGAAACTGCAATGAATCATCAATAAGGTTAACAGTTGTGTTTTTTATCTATTTGATACCATGAAGTAAAAATCCAAAGAAGCAAACTGATCATAGTGAATTTCTATTTAATCCCAATAGTAAAGACATGGTAGCAAGATTACATGCGTAAGATTAATTGCAGAAAAAAGTACTGATATTCATACAAGTATTTTCATGGTGTAGCATCTAAAAGTCTAAAAAGACCTTGCCATTCACTTATGCACTATACAGAGTAAACCAGAGCTGTCAGGATCTACAGAAGAGAAGAGACTATCTTTAGCAATGCAAACAACTGGTAAAAGAAATGATGGGACTGTGAATCTCTTAACACAGGACAGTAGGTACAGTAGTAGCACAGCCCATTACCAGCTGCAAACTAAGAGACATACATATCTCAGTTACCCTGTTTAACTGCTGTCAGGTCCTGTCATCAATTCCACCAGCCTCTTTGTAGTTAATTTATAATTCACACATACAGTATACTCCTCCAGCAAGCTGAATTATAGGCGCCTGAGTTGAAATCAATGCTCTGCTATGGTAAAGAGTTTATAACACTATTTTGTGGAGTCATACTTACTTTTCTCATTCCTGAAGGCTTGAGATAGTTTGCGATAACTCAGGACCATGTCGACCTTGAAATAATGATAAACCAGGAGCCCAGCCACAATCAAGGGGAAGAAAATGGCAACTATTATATAGAGGTGAAAGGCTCTCTGTGGTGCTATGTCAGGAGACAAGAGACAAGCAGGCAAAAAATAAGCACAGTGCAACAACCCTTTTTGTAACAGACACAGATCTAGTTACATTTCTGCTCAACCTGAACCTGAAACCCCTGCTGTGCTCATTTTAGGACATCGAATTTTCATCCAACAATTACAAGTACAGTTTAAGACCTCCTCTCATGTTAAAAGGGGATTTTCACAGCAAACAAGAACCTCACAATAAAGACTGATACAATAGGCAAACCTGGAATAAGTCGAACATGTCCTCTGTCAGCTCCTTGTGGATTCAAAACAATGCACGTTAAGGGCATGTGGTAGAACTCATTAGTCACTTCTGGGATTGTCAGGTTCAAATACCCATACATTCCATATCTTCCATCCTTGTGCTCTTTCAATCTGGAAGCAAACCAGTACAAAAGGAGCCCTGTTAATTATTTTTCCTTCTGTAGTGGGATCTACAGGGGACGTTATTGTTTCCCCATCATGCAATGCAGACAAGTCACTCTTGGCTGCTCACATATTGTCTGATGTAGAATTTAAAAGATATGATGACGTTCACAGTCCTGTAAAGGGCTATGTGTATAAATTGCACTGCAATGCTATATCTGTGGGCAGGACCAGAATCTTACAGCCATGCATGCTCTCCTGTGTGGTGTTGCAGGGGTTTGTAGCTGTGAGACCAGACGTGATAAAAAGACAAATTACTGTCCCAAATGAGCATTACAAAAACATTGAGTTCCTTAAGGAAGCCACATGCTTTTTTATCTGGCCTCATTCGAGGTGTTTAACAAAAACCCATTTCTTCTCTGATTGTGTTCTTGCAGTATTTGTTACCACCGGAGGCAGAATATTGTCCAAAAACGCGAAGTAAACTATGTTACGCCGACGAACCTCATCAGGGCCACATTTAGCATTTATATCAGAGCACAGCTCTGTAACAGATACCTTAATGAAATCCTGTATTTGGCCAGCATGAATGAATGCCTGATATTTCTGCAATATCACAGTGAACTTACATAACGCCAAACTGTCTTTCCAGTTGTCTGCTGTTTTTTCTGAGAGCCGTACGGCACAGTTGAGAAATCTTTGATGACCATCTTTCCTTTTAAGCAACGTGTTACAAATGTCGCTAAGCTATCTTTTCTTCATCTAAGAAAATTAGACGTATTCTTTCTCAGTCCAAAACTGGGAGACTACTGCATGCTTTTGTAGCACTTAGGCTAGGTCATTGTAATAAATCTTTCGTAACACTAGTCATCTAACTGTATGTCACGACTCCTTCATTCCTCAAGGATGATCGTCTTCCAAAAACCTGTGATCTTTATCTCAAGGTCCCTCTAGGTATCACAGACAGAAAGTGTCTCTGCCCCGTCTCTGAGTTAGTCCAGACTCCCTGCTGCAACAGGGTCCTCTTCTTCCTTGCTGTCAAAGGTACAGTAGCTAGATTGCTATTGTACAACTGCCTGCATCACTGCCCTCCGCTTGCCCACAACTTGATAAACATCCAATTCAGGCTGGGTTCCCAGGTGCTCAGGTGGGCTGACAGTCTAAAACGCAGCTGTTAGCGAGCAGGTCTGTGTCCCAGCCATGTACAGACTGGGTGGTGGCATCAGGGCCATACAACCTCCATTTCAGGAGCAACATACCGTACCAAGGTGATGTTGGTGAATTTGCATGTGGCGCCACACATTAAAAACTCTCTGAGTGTGAAATAGATTACATGCATCCAAAAATGTTGGCTAGGCCAGTGTAGCTGTGCAACACTCTCAGACATCAAATCAGTGCCAATGGGATGATTGATTAAAAAACACTGTTATGACGATTAAGACAAAATTATTGTGATCTCAATTATATATTCCAAAAAGTAAATTGTGATGACAGGCTCTGAATGTACCACAATGATAAAACAGTTTACTTACATTTTCAGCTCTTCTATTAGTTGTTTGTCTTTATACTGCTCAATCACGGTGTTATTTATAGTCCAGTATACCAATGTCTCATTCTCTGTGTATTCTCTGAGACCAATAAAAACAGTGCAGGTCAAGACCATTTTGTGGCCTAGGAAACAAAAAAAATTCAAAGCTTTACACATGCTTAATTAAAATGTTACCAATATTACATTCTATAAAACAAAAGAACAACTATGATGTTTAAAAAGTCAGTGTTAATGTTTCGTTATTAATCAAGGTCTGACAATTTGAAAGCCTGCAATCTTATTTAGAATTACAAGTATTTTTGTTTTCGGAAATACGTGGTATAGAAACTGATGTTAGACATTTCCCCTAAGATATAAAGTAGAGCAGAACACAGAGTCAAGAGCAACACCCCCTATGGAACACAATAAAACAAAACAGTGGCCTAAACAAACTGAAAGTGTGACCCCTTGTGGTGGCATAAAAAGGAATTTCAAACGGATAAAAAAGTGTGTATAATAAAGGTTTATGTTCATCGGCTTAAACAAATCCCTTAAAATATCTTTTGCAGGCAATGTCAAGACGGAGAATTAACAACGATTTTCAGATTGTTATCTCTGCTATCACATCTGCTTACCGAGCTCAGCTTCAATGCTTTCGTTCTTGGGATGTAAAACTTTTGGCGTTTCCACCACCATTAGTTCTGCAACACATAAAACATGTAGGTTCTCTTCAATTGTCTGCTTCTCTGTAATGCTGTGCACATTTTGTTTGCCTTTTCACTTACTAGACATTTTTGATAGTGATGTGGTTTAATATTTGGTCTTTCAAGACAACATAAGGCCATCAGGGATATACAGTATGGCGAGCAGCTGTATCACCCTGCAATTTATAACGGAACTCAGCAGGCGTGAGCCTGGTCAGTACCTGGATGGGAGACCTCCTGGGAAAAACTAAGGCTGCTGCTGGAAGAGGTGTTAGTGGGGCCAGCAGGGGGCGCTCACCCTGTGGTCCATGTGGGTGCTAATGCCCCAGTATAGTGACAGGGACACTATACTGTAAACAGGCGCTGTCTTTCAGATGAGACGTAAAACCGAGGTCCTGACTTCCTGCGGTCATTAAAAATCCCAGGGCGTTTCTTAAAAAGAGTAAGGGTGTCCTGGCCAAATTTCCCAATGGCCCTTATCAATCATGGCCTCCTAAAAATCCCCATCTATGAATTGTCTTCATTACTCTGCTCTCCTCCCCACTGAGAGCTGGCGTGTGGGGAGCGTTCTGCGAGGGAGTTATAACTGCGAGGAGCTCATCCAGTCATTTTTTGAAAGAAACCAGGGTATCGGTATCAACAACTTGCTTGGGCGGCTTGCTCCAAAATCCCACAACCCCTTGTTTAAAGAACTGCTTCCTGTTTTCTAATTTAAGTGCAATTCCAAGTATCATTTGTTCGCAGCTGTCTGATGGTGCTGAGAAGATTGTACCTGCTGTCTGAGCCTAAGAAATGTCCTTCACACAAAGGACATTAAACCTTACTCTGGAGAGCTATTGATGATGCCTGTCCTTCTGACTTGAAAAGTGTCAGTGGTCTTTCATAGCACAAAGTTTGTTCCTTGTTGTGTCATTAATTCTAATGTGCATCCATCCCGTGTGTTTGATATATTCCTGCTCTGAGAGTCTTAACAGGTCTTTGTACATCCCAGTAGAGGATATTCTTTTAAGTGCTTGAGCAGTTTAATAGTGCTTCTAGTCAATTCAAACCGTCTGAAAACCATCTACAGTTCTAGTTAGGGAATATACCAAATAAATAACACTGAATGACTGAGAACACGTTTTCAAAGTTTTTCTTCAAAGCACTAGAATTGAGAGTGAAGTATTACCATTAGGTGATATCTTTGTTGTGCCCAGACTTGAAGCTATGAGTGTTTTCCCCTTGTGTGTAAAATTGATCTGACAGGTGTAATTTCCAACATCCACGCTATTTACATTGGCTATATAAAGTCCTCCTCTCACGGTGCTCATTTTGTCTTTATTCATCTCAATGGGCACACAGTCCTGCAATGCGAAAAAAGGTTATTTCATTTCAGACATGATGTAATCAGAAACTCTCAGGTGTCTGCGTGTAAATCAAAGATCCTCACTTCTTGTATTCTCTCACTATCAGTTTCCATGAAGTGCGGTGTCCTTTAAAAAAACAATTCAGCATCCTTTCCTCAGAACCAAACTATCTGCACAGCCATCATAAGAGCTGTTTATTTGAGGAAAGTTTCCAAAACTGACATGAACACATCAGAACTAAAGCTGAGATCGACAGTCCTACGGTATAATTATATTACACTGAAACTGAAAGTACTCCTCCCCCTGTAGTGTAGGTCATCTTACCTTAAACCACCTGACGTCAGGCTGTCTATCTAAAGTGCTAATTTCTTTGTATCCAAAGCAGGAAATGATAACTGGGCTGTTGAGGGTTATGAAGTTGAAGTAGTTCACATAGGAGCATGAACTCGTCTTCACAGACAGGAACATCTTCATTTCGAAGGGGAACTCTGGGCCTCTGGACAGAGCAAAGGATTCAAGCAATGAATTTTGAGAGCAGGAAAGGGTTTTCAGAACCGAGACAACGGGATGCTCACATGGCTCACAGCGAAACTACGGAACAAAGCCAGGGAGGGACGAGAGGGAAACTCCTACTGGCATCCCTCCCAGGGTGAGAACGGCCGCCGCAATCTCCTGCCCTTTAAAAGGGGTGAATTTCGGTGATGCAGCTGTCCTCTCTACCACGGGATGGGGAGACTGTCTTGCTGTCTGTGTTGTCCATGAAAGGACAATTTACCATTCCAGCGTCTTTATCTAATTCGCCATTTTATTTTCCCCCCAATGAGAGTGAGCCGTGTCATTTCTACCTGTCAAAAAAACAGCTAAAAACAATACACATTTAACCTGGGAATACGTCCTGACACGGTGTTGTAGTTCATCTATACGAAAGACGGAACACGTGCTCCTTTAAATCATTTTTTTTCCCCAACAAGAGGAGAGTGACGATATTCTACTGTTGCTAAAGTCAATGCTACTTTGCACAAGAAATTATTATTGCATATACAGTACAGTACAATGCAATATAAAGTATTAATATAGTAAGCAACATTGTTCACAAATTAATTATTGCATTTAAATGCAATCATTTTCTCATAGAAATCAGATATTTTTCTCTTTATAAACGCTATACTATCTCGTATAAATGAGATGATTTTTTTTCTCCGTGGCGCTAATGAACTACTGCACCGATCAGTACGTGTCAGGACTGTGGGAAGAGAGTGGAGCAGCCAGAGGAAACTCACAGGAACACGGGGAGAACATATAAAACCCTCACAATGGCACCCCAGGAATTGAAGCAAGTGGCAACAATTCTACTCACCATGTTATCATGCCAGCCATGATGCACAATACAGGATAATACATAATGTATTCAACATGAGTGAATCGTGAACAACCACTTACTGCAGAGCGCAATAAAATACCTTTCTGTGCCCAGCTCTCATATTAATGTTTTGGTTAATAAAGTTTTTATGTGTTGTTCAGTTGTTTGCTTTTAACATTAATACCAATTTCATCTTAAACTGTAATCTTAATCAGAATGAAGACCAACTCCAAACCTCAAAGAGAAGTGAGACAAGACTCCTTCACCAATCTGAGCAATGTGTATAGCATTCTCATCACGCCTGTGCGATACTGAAGAGTGAGACACAACTACTCATCCCTTAACACCATGTAAAACTTTACTGCAGCAAAGAGCAGAAATTAGAAGCATTTTTACATTTAATTCACAAATGTACACTCCGCCTGATTTGAACATCAAAGGGTTAATCAGTCCTGCCAGGATTTAAGGGTGACATAAGGAATTGTTTAACCTTACTGAAATATTAGCCTAGATAGGACCGTCTATGGTGTTCACTATGCAATTAAAAGTTTGTCAGCAATTAAAAACATGACAGTTTTAATTTGCAGTCATGAACATCTGCAGCACAATTATGTATTTGATAAATACTGCCCGTGTGGTATATTTGCAAAGACTCTAATTAGCGCTGTGTTAAGGACCCAATCTGGGTGCAGCCCGTCTTACCTTATGTCACACCCATAGTATCCCGAGTCAGACAGCTCTGCTGGTAGAAACCACAGCATGTCCTCGTGTGCCTCTACCCTTGAGCCCGTTTCATTCAGGCTCGTATTTCCATCTCTGGACCAGGCTACGGTCAGATTGTTGAAGCTCTCCCTGAAGAACGAATAGAGCCGGCATTTCAGCACAAAAGCCTCTCCGACGCCGACGTGGTAGGACTCGACCTCAACGCCCGCGCCCGCTGGAAGAGAAGGGACAGGGGGGCAAGACCCTAAGAATAGGAACTTGGGGTGTCTCCCGCTGGGGTGCAGGAGCGGATTTCAGCACAAGGCCTTCCTCAAAGGAAGCATTGCAGGCTCAGCTGGGACTCAGCTCTCCTGACCATCAGGAATGCTTTTAACACCAAGTCCACAAAGGACACGTACTGTAGGTGCACCTAAGGGCAAAGGAATGGTGGCAGCCAACAAGTGGTCATTTGGGCACATGTTGGTCATTTGGGCACATGCTGGTCATTTGGCTGCCAGTAGCAAATTGCTTCGAGGACCTCATCCAGACTTTTCTTAAAAGAAATTGGAGTATCACCTTCGATGACACAGATGGAGTCACCAAACTCTGTGAACGACATTCATTGAAAAATTAAAAGTTTAGGCCTCTTTTCCTTCTAATGCATATGAAGGAAATGGGAAACGATTTCACAAAAATCTTTCGGGATGACAATTTGAGATTCTCCACGGACACTCTTCATGTTAGGCTTTGATTTTCTCACACAAGGTGTGTAAAACATCTCTTCGATGCAAGGAAATGTGGTGACGTTTGGGAAGCGAACACGATTTATGCAGCCTTTGGTGTCTATTATTTTACACAATCAAACTTGGGGCAAACTGTACACTGTGCATCGGTTTAAAGTACTGACAGGTTTGCACCCAGTTTGCCCACTGGAAATTTCCAAAGGGGAAAATCAGGCCTTAATATTTCAATTTAAAATGTATTACATGGTCACTATTTTCTACAGTTCCATTTTCTTTTCAAATGAACTCCTTATAATATATACTTGTAGCAGTTAACTAACAATTGATCTTTGCCTTTCTTCCTTTTCTGAGTATTATAGTGCTCCGTTTTTATTTTAAAATACTGGTGTCCAATGACAATGTTTTCTTAACTGGAAATAAAGCAAGCCAGAAACAGGATATACCTGTTCTTGTGTGCACTCTGTTTAAAAAGGGCATTCAAAGAGGTATCTATCTTAAAGGAAAAACGAGTCGTTTCTAGATACTTTCAAAGTTCATTAAAAGAACAACAATGGAGTTTAAGCAAGAGAAGAAGCTGGGGTGAAGGTCAAGGTCTTACAGCAGTTCTGTGTTCCTTTAAAAAATAACAAGGCCAGTGAATGATTTTTTTCACAGCTAGATTTCCGTTTTTATGTCCCCACGTGTGACTTCTCAACCACAAGACCAGCCAAGCAGCCTGTGGTGTTTCCTCTGCGGTACCAATGCTTACAAAAGTGGGTTACTCTGTGCTGTCGAGACGAATGGTTCAGGCAGACGACACGAAGGGAGAGTGGAAGAAGCAGATTCTCTGCAGTCCTGAAAAATGAGCAACGCTATATCGGAACTGAAATTTATTTAAATGCATGATTTATTCCGATTGCCTGTGTTCAATATCCATTATGTTATCCATATGTTGTAATAATAATAATTGCTTACACTTATATAGCGCTTTTCTGGACACTCAAAGCACTTTACGGGTAATGGGGATCCCCTCCTCCACCACCAGTGTGTAGGCCCACCTGGATGATGCGACGGCAGCCATAGTGCGCCAGAACACTCACCACACACCAGCTATCAGTGGGGAGGAGAGCAGAGTAATGAAGCCAGTTCATAGAGGGGGATTATTAGGAGGCCATGATTAGTAAGGGCCAATGAGAAATTTGGCCAGGACACCGGGGTTACTCTTTTCGAGAAACGCCCTGGGATTTTTAATGGCCGCAGAGAGTCAGGACCTCGGTTTTACGTCTCATCCGAAGGACGGCGCCTGTTTACAGTATAGAGTCCCCGTCACTATACTGGGGCATTAGGACCTACACAGACTGCAGGGTGAGCGCCCCCTGCTGGCCTCACTAACACCTCTTCCAGCAGCAACCTTAGTTTTTCCCAGGAGGTCTTCCATCCAGGTACTGACCAGACTCACACCTACTGAGCTCCAGTGGGCAGCTGCAGGGTGATATGGCTGCTGGCCATATGTAGACAAACCACTCCACCCCATTAACATGGCAGAGAAGAAAACAGCAGATCCTGCATTGCAAAATAACAGCTACACTAAAACACTCAAATGCACTGTAAATGTGACAGAACTGCCAGCACTGAACTTTATCTTACCTTCGCTGTCGACGCAGGACGTCAAGAAGAGCCAGATGAAGAAAATAACGAGAAACCTCCTGGTCATTCTCTGCGGTCAAGGAAGAGGAACGAGCAAAAGCATTTTAATTGCAATATTTGTTAACACTTCACAACATGCTACGGACGTGGTGTTTTATTTTTTT